CTAAAAAATGCTCTACTTCATTAGTCATCAGAGAAACAAAATGCTACAAAGCAAAACAACAATAAGAAACCTTAGAATGACTAATTTTAAAAAGACATAATAACAAGGAATCAGTGGTGAGGAAGTGGAGAAATGAGAATCCCCTGGGTGCAGCTACTTTGGAAAATAGTTGGATATTCTTCAAGCAGTTAAACATGGATTTACCATATGGACCCAGCAATTTCACTCAAAAATTCGGATGGGAATGTTCACAGCATCAGTATTCATAATCACCATGAGTGGAAACAACACACATCTTCATCACCTGCTGAGTGGGTAAGTAAAACTATCACTTTCATACAAAACTGCTCAGTCATAAAAAGGAATGAAGTACAGTTACATACTATCACATGGATAAACCTTGAGGACAGTACGTTAAATAAAAACCCCACATACCTTTTAACTACTTTTCTGCCAAGTGCCCCAAACTGGCAAATCCATAGAGACAGAAGTAGATTAGTGGTATCAGGGCTGAGAGAGGAGAAGATAGGACGTTCCTGTCTAATGGTACAAGATTTCTTTTTGAGATGATGAAAATGTTCTAAAGTAGATTTTGGTGTGTCAGTTGCATAACTCTGTGATTATGCTAAAATCCATCACACTGTATGCTCTAAATGGCTGCATTTTTTGGTATATAAATTATACCTCAGTAAATTTGCTATATTAGGTAGGGGGAGAGGAAGCATTCTGAAATTTCAGGCCACATAGCTGACTTGCCTGAGTTTACTTGACAGTAGAAGTCGGCACTAAAACGGATTTCTCCACTTCCTGTGAACTACGCTAACTGGACCCCAGACTTTCCTTTGATTGGTCTGAAAAACTGACCTTAGGTCATAAGTTCCCATGCCTGAGAAAAATTGAGACCAAATCTATTTCCCTGCAAAGGGACGACAGGATTTGAATTTTGAAACTGGAGATGCTGGACTCTTTTTGGAAAATAGCTAGCAAATTCTTACGAGAAACCAGCTACACAAAGGCAAAGGCTTGTTTGCATAAGTTATAGTGAAATCACTTCTTAAAAATATATCTTAAGTGTTTAGGAGAAAGGGAGCAGACACTTCTCCAGACCCGTGGGTGGGGATGGGTGTGGTGCACTCACGGAGCCTCACAGGGCCGCAGCACGAGGAATCTACTGCTTACAGCCAATTCATGTCCTTAAAAGGCCAAACGGAGAGGAATTTAACTTAGAAGAGACATTTTAGAACTGTGCTGTTATAAAACTATAGGCCATGCAGTGGCCGATTAATGATGACAGCGAGGGTGAGGAGCTGAACGGTCCTTTGAATTCATCAACCCACACAGAGAAGAGCATTTCTCAGGAGAGCACTCACGCTGCTTTCAAGCCCTGGGAGGCATGGGTGGGAGAGCTTGGCAGAGAGGGGCGGGGGGTGTGGAAAGGGGAAGATGAGGGTGCATGAACTGGCCTTTCCGCAGGCCAGGGTGAAAGTCTGCTGCTTAAAGCTTCAGTGAGGGAGGATGGGAGAGCGAGAGAAAACCCCGGGGATACCTGGGACTAGACAAAGTCAAAGTAATACAAGGTGCTTCCTGCCCCTCTTGTCACAAAATGAATCAGTCCAATCCCTGTCCGACTGGTTTTCTTGACACACCCCTCTAG